AGATTTCTCAAAGGCTTTTGACCGCCTAGACCTCTTAATATTGGCAAAAAAATTATTAAATCTAGGGTTTGACAGACAACTCGTTGATTTTATTTCTTCATACCTCAAGAGAAGACTGCAATACGTTGAGTTGAATGGCTTTAAATCTTTTTTATTCGAAGCTACAAGTGGGGCTCCACAGGGAAGTAATCTTGCTCCCCTGCTATTTTCGCTATTTATCAACGATATTGTTTCTGTTCTCAAATGTAATACACTTTTATTTGCCGATGATCTAAAGATATTTAAAATCATTACTTGCAACGACGATTGCCATCAGATGCAAGATGATTTATTTGCCCTTGATCAATGGTGCAATGAAAACAGACTACCTCTTAATGTAAAAAAATGTAAGGTTGTGTCATACTCCTTAAAGCATGATTTTTTTATCTATAACTATCAAATTCAATCTATGTCACTTGCTCGCGTCTCAAATTTCAAAGATCTAGGGAAAACATTTGATTCCAAAATGTCATTCAACTCACATATTGCAGCCATTTCTGCTTCTGCCACAAAACTATTGGGATTCATATATCGCTCCTGCAATAAGTTTAAAAATGCTTCTACAACTAAACTACTATACTTCCATTACATAAGAAGCAAATTAGAGTATGGATGCCTAATCTGGAATCCTTATTATGAGGCTCATATTCAACATTTAGAAAAAGTTCAGCGTAAATTTGTCAAATATATGGCTTTTAAAATGGATGGAGTGTATCCTACCCGTGGATTCGATCACACTCGGTTACTTCAAAGGTTCAACTTGCCAACTTGCAAGGACAGACGAGTTTATATATCTCTAATTTTTTTGTACAAGTTGGTTAATGGTATGATTGATTGTTCTGAGTTATTATACCAACTAAATTTTTATGTTCCCTTAAATACCAGATCCAAAAATCTGTTCTACCTACCCTCAGTAAGTACTAATATCATGCTAAAATCGCCTTTACATATCATGTGCAGGGAACTAAACAAAATTAGTCCACATATTGATATATTCAATCAAACTTTATGTAGTTTTAGTAAGTCAGTGAAAAATATCTTATTTAATCAATAATAAACTTGGCGGGCTGTATCCTATCAAATGTTCATTTATTTGCAAACTAATATTTTTTTAAATTACTTTGTATATTTTCCTACTATTCTTATATGAATTGTCTTATTAATGGATGTAATTCTGTTAGACAATAAAGCTTATTATTATTACTATTATTATTATTATTATTATTATTATTATTATTATTATTATTATTATTATTATTATTATTATTATTATTATTATTATTATTATTATTATTATTATTATTATTATTATTATTATTATTATTATTATTATTATTATTATTATTATTATTATTATTATTATTATTATTATTATTATTATTATTATTATTATTATTATTATTATTATTATTATTATTATTATTATTATTATTATTATTATTATTATTATTATTATTATTATTATTATTATTATTATTATTATTATTATTATTATTATTATTATTATTATTATTATTATTATTATTATTATTATTATTATTATTATTATTATTATTATTATTATTATTATTATTATTATTATTATTATTATTATTATTATTATTATTATTATTATTATTATTATTATTATTATTATTATTATTATTATTATTATTATTATTATTATTATTATTATTATTATTATTATTATTATTATTATTATTATTATTATTATTATTATTATTATTATTATTATTATTATTATTATTATTATTATTATTATTATTATTATTATTATTATTATTATTATTATTATTATTATTATTATTATTATTATTATTATTATTATTATTATTATTATTATTATTATTATTATTATTATTATTATTATTATTATTATTATTATTATTATTATTATTATTATTATTATTATTATTATTATTATTATTATTATTATTATTATTATTATTATTATTATTATTATTATTATTATTATTATTATTATTATTATTATTATTATTATTATTATTATTATTATTATTATTATTATTATTATTATTATTATTATTATTATTATTATTATTATTATTATTATTATTATTATTATTATTATTATTATTATTATTATTATTATTATTATTATTATTATTATTATTATTATTATTATTATTATTATTATTATTATTATTATTATTATTATTATTATTATTATTATTATTATTATTATTATTATTATTATTATTATTATTATTATTATTATTATTATTATTATTATTATTATTATTATTATTATTATTATTATTATTATTATTATTATTATTATTATTATTATTATTATTATTATTATTATTATTATTATTATTATTATTATTATTATTATTATTATTATTATTATTATTATTATTATTATTATTATTATTATTATTATTATTATTATTATTATTATTATTATTATTATTATTATTATTATTATTATTATTATTATTATTATTATTATTATTATTATTATTATTATTATTATTATTATTATTATTATTATTATTATTATTATTATTATTATTATTATTATTATTATTTATTATTATTATTATTATTATTATTATTATTATTATTATTATTATTATTATTATTATTATTATTATTATTATTATTATTATTATTATTATTATTATTATTATTATTATTATTATTATTATTATTATTATTATTATTATTATTATTATTATTATTATTATTATTATTATTATTATTATTATTATTATTATTATTATTATTATTATTATTATTATTATTATTATTATTATTATTATTATTATTATTATTATTATTATTATTATTATTATTATTATTATTATTATTATTATTATTATTATTATTATTATTATTATTATTATTATTATTATTATTATTATTATTATTATTATTATTATTATTATTATTATTATTATTATTATTATTATTATTATTATTATTATTATTATTATTATTATTATTATTATTATTATTATTATTATTATTATTATTATTATTATTATTATTATTATTATTATTATTATTATTATTATTATTATTATTATTATTATTATTATTATTATTATTATTATTATTATTATTATTATTATTATTATTATTATTATTATTATTATTATTATTATTATTATTATTATTATTATTATTATTATTATTATTATTATTATTATTATTATTATTATAATAATTGGTGGATCCTAAAATAGATACAAGTGCGTAAATTTTGTGTGACCTAGCCGTAAAGGAACCATATTTTTTTTGTTCTAGTTTGTTTTTCTCTAATATTGCTACCCAGATATAAATACATTAAGCACATTCTAAGTATAAAGGGTGTTCCATCTCAGACGAACCACCCCGTATATTTCTTATCCCATAGTAATTGGAAAAATTTCCCGAAACACGTTGAATGATTTTCTTTGGGGGGCATCTTTTGACGTATATTTGAGGCTTAAACGAGCAACCCCCTACGAGGGGGCGCTTCAACCCCTTAAAATTGAATAAAGAAGAGGGGTTGAGTGATACTTCATTTGTAATTGGAAGCCTCTTTACAACGGTGTATGAAAAAAATCACATTCTTAAAAAAAATTCATTGTTTTATCATGCTTACAATCAAAAAAATCAAAACTGCGTTTTTAAATCAAATGTTCAAATTGTCCTCCATTGACTTCCATATAATAATACTGTTTTAATACTTATTATTATTTTCTACTCCCCTTTCCAAAAACAGTTATTAAATACTCCGAGCATTTGTGAAGCCTTGGCTTTTCTACCCCTAGGACTTTTTCATTTTTTATTATTTTTATTTGCCACTGGTAAATAAATGTTCCTTCTGGACCCCAGTATCTTTTTGCTGGTGACAGTGCTGCCCTTATCCCTTAATAGTATATTGACAACAGTAGCTGAGGACCTATCAGTTGTTACAAGTGAGTCTTTAGGCTAGTTGGTTGTTACAGTATATCTTGAATTAATTGATTTTTCTTACCTAATAAATTAACACATAATTTGTGAAGCGTTTTTATAAAAACACAACTAAATTATCAATGTATAGGCACATCACGCCTTTTATCGCCAGCTACACATTTTGCCCAATTATGTTGTGTCTAATGCCCCGCAATTTCATAATTTGTGTAAATACAAACAAGGACAAGAAAAGGTGTTAATTTTTTCATCGCCAAACCCTTTTGGGCCAAACCCTTGCTACAACAACATCAATCACACGGAATTTAATTATATTTGCTCACTTCAAAGCGAACCTTATTCATTGGCGCATCCATACATTATTCAAAAGGTTAATTGTTTATTATCGGTTTAAATAATTAAGTAATTTAAGTAATGATATAGATTTTTACAGTACGGGTCTCCCTCCCCCCATTTATTTTTTTGAACTGTAAAAGTTAGAAATTTTAAATTGAGAAATAAATCCATAAATTACTTTGATATTAAACGAGAATAGTACAGTGCCAAAGCTTAAAAATTTGTAGTACGCCAGTATATAGCATTTAAAATTTAAAGTAGAGGATTCGTTATAAGTAAAATGTTAATTGTTGTCATAGAAAAGGGTTTGGAACAAGCTTTTAAATGTTGTATCACTTGCCGTATGATCCCATTTAAAATTATCTTCCAAAACGGCTTTCTTCTGCCTTTTTTTTTAATTAATACGTCACCTAATATCATTACGAAGATAGTATACATTCCTTACAATTTCTCAAAATTCTAAATTTCTAACTTTTACGTTTTTAAAAATAAATGAGAGAGGAGGGACATTCCACTTTTTTTATGTTGTATTTTTAGATTTTGTATTTTGCAATCCTAGACAATACTTACTTGTCTTGTTAATTTCTTCTTTAGGTTTTGTGGAAACCAGAGTGAATAGAGGTGGGTTTCACTATTCCCATCTCGTTACCAACATATAAAGGAGGTGGTGTAAAAGATGGAAGGAATAATTGTCATACCTAGGTAACTCTGGTATAGAGGACTCTTTGAATATTCTTGTTTAAATAATCCAGTGTCATAGAAGGGTCTGTGACAACTAAGAATAAGGGTTGGTTTTTAGTATTCATGCGGTAGATTTCCTTAATTTTTATTTTGTATTCTTCTTGCAGGTCTTCTTCAATATCGGCAATTTTTGTACCGTCTGCCAGACCGCGGAGAACAAACTCGTCCGTTTTGTCGTCTTTGGTGGCATAAGTGTGGAAGGGAAGCTTGTCAGCCTTAATATTTTCCACCATTTTCATGTGGTCCTCTCTATCATCCACAAATAGTATTGTCGAGTTATTGGTATGTTTGATGCTAAATTTTCCCTTCACAATTTCCTTAATGTCATTTAGGAGCGACGATTGATTTGCTGTTTTTCCGTCAATGACTATTGGTGGCGTAGATGTTTTATTTTTGGGGTTGTTAGTCGTCATGGGTGGGTTTTTGTTTTTATTCCCAGCGAGAATGCTTTCTATGGTTTCTTCAGGCTGTATCACATTTTTCCATGAATTTTTATTATCCTTTGAGCCCCTGGTTGCAGCTACCCTTCTACGTTTGGTAATACGGTCAATATCATCTTCGTATTCGGTCTCAGATTCATCTGTGAGTGTCTTAGTAAGGGGCATTTTAGTTTTTCTCTAAGCAGCGTCTGAAAATGTTTGCTGAACTTCTTAGGAGTCTGGAATGGGAGTTGTTCACTTGTTGTTGGATCTGTTTCCATATGTTGTGTCTGTGAAGGGTGGTTTTTCCTTAACAGGTACTAGTAGGCGAGGTTGGCAGTTGACTATGTCCTAGTTCAGTGGTCGCCAACTTGTCGATCGCGAGCTGCCGGTAGCTCGCGGAGGCAATTCTGATAGCTCTCACAACGATTTTAATTTAAAAAATACAAACTGCAAAAATTAAAGAAGCTTCCGAAAATTCCTCAAAAAATTCTGATTGTCATAATATTAAACATAAACTGCGGCAACGTTGCGGTGAGCGATCTGCCGCTGACGTCATCAAGCTAGAATCGGCTAGAACCGACCAGCCGGACCAGCTCGTTAGTGTTCGAGAACGATCAGGATTGCTTTGAACGGGATAAATACGCACGGCGCGGAGACATTGCGCTTAGTTTAAAACGGAACGCGTAACCAACGTCCAGCGGTTGGATTAGTAGAGAACAACAAAAAATAATAATATGGCAAGCAGTTGTAAGAAGGTAAAGACATACCACTTTCATTCAAAATGGGAAGAACAATACTTTTTTACAGAAGTTAAAGATAAAAATGTGTGTTTGTTATGTAATACTTCGGTCTCCGTTGCTAAAAAAAGGAAATATTAAGAGACATTATAAAACTGTACATTCTAATTTTGAAAAATCATTTTCACTACATTCTGCCGCCAGAAAGGAGAAACTGAAACAGTTAAAAAAGCAGTTAATTGGACAACAATCAATATTTTTAAGAACAGTCGACAAAAATAAGGCTGCAACTGAAGCATCGTCCCAGATAATTGCACAAAAAAAGGAACCTTATGAAGACAGGGAAATGATAAAACAAGCGTTTTTAGAAGCTGCTGATTCGTTATTTGCCAACTTTAGAAATAAAGACGAGATAGTTTCAACCATAAAATCTATGCAACTTTCTGCTAATACAGTGATGAGACGTGTAGAAGTAATGAGCAATGATATTTTTTTACAGTCAAGAACTGACTTAGATAACTGTATTTATTTTTCACTTCAACTGGATGAATCAACAGATGTCGTTGACACTGCCCAGATGGCCGTGTTCGTCAGGATGGTTTTTAGCGATTTTACGATTAAAGAAGATCTTTTGAAGTTTATTCCACTGAAAGGACACACTACTGGACAGGAGTTGTTTTTTCATTTAAAAAATATTATTTCTTCCGAGAAAATTCCAATATCTAAAATGGTAGGCTTGACAACCGATGGCGCTCCAGCTATGGTGGGTTGTGATAAGGGTCTGGTGGCGTTATGTCGTAAAGATGAAACTTTTCCGCTATTTCTCTGTTACCACTGCATTATCCATCAGCAAGCATTATGTGGAAATTTCCTGAAACTAAACAACGTTATGAAACTGGTGGTAAAAATTATGAACAAGCGTTACAAAGAAGATTATTCAAAACCTTGGCCGATGAAGTTGACTGTCAATGCGGGGACCTACTCCTTCACTCTAAAGTCCGATGGTTAAATAGAGGACGGGTGCTGAAACGTTTTAATAATATCCTATCTGGCATATTTCAATTTTTCAAACAACAAGATGAACCGACTCCGGAACTAGAAAATTCAATCTGGCTTAGAGATTTTGGTTTTCTCGTGGACATTACAGAGAAATTAAACAAACTTAATTGGCAGCTTCAGGGGAGAGACAACGAACTAGCGGAAATGATTTCTGATATAAAAGCATTTATCAAAAAGCTGGAGTTTTGGGAACAAAACCTAATTAACAGCGATACCAAGCATTTTCCTATTCTTTCAGAAAAAATATCTCAAAATCCATTAGAACCCTATGACAGCAAATATCATGTAGAAATAGTTTCTACCCTGAAGAATAACTTCAAAAATCGTTTTAAGGATTTCAACGAAATGGCTTTAGTAGCGCAGTTTGTTGTTTCACCCTTTATGGAAATTGATATCCAACAGTTTGCAACTTGTGTTATGCAGAACTTTGGCGAAGACATCGCTGTAACAGAAATGGAAGTAATTGAGTTTCAAAATGATTTATCCTTAAAATCGTTAGTCTCAAGTACCAAATGTATCTGGCCTAATGTAAGTAAAGACAAATATTTAGTTATATGCCGTGTTGCTTTGAAAGTAAAAGCATTATTCAGTTCAACCTATTTGTGTGAATCTTCTTTTTCCAATATGAAAATTATTAAGAATAAATATCGCAATCGACTTACAGATGAACATTTGGATAATTGTATTCGAATGGCTGTTTAAATTATACTGCAAACATTAAAAAAATTATCGATGAGTCTGAGTGTCAGCCTTCTCATTGAACGTGCTTTTTTATTTTTCAATGTTTATGTTCATGATAGTGCGTTACTTTTTTGTTATTATTAACTATTTTTAAATCTTACGTGACATGCTGTTGTGACTGGATAAAAGTTTGTGTTTATTTTTCAAACACCTTTGTTTGGTAGGTAGGAATGTAGCTATGAACAAGTACGCACTAGTAATATTAGTTATTTTGTTATTAGTTTATTATTAGTACCTATATATTATGTATTACCAGTTAAATAGTAAAATAAATACATATAATGATAAATTAACTGTGGATTATTTCATTTACGTTGCGTTACGTGGCTTCCATGTAGGTAGCTCGCTGTTTATTCCAAAATTAACAAAGAAGCTCAACACATTGAGAGGTTGGCGACCACTGTCCTAGTTTGTCATTTGGGGGTTTGTTTTCTTCTTCAGAGGTATAATATGCTGAGGTTTAATTCAGGATTAATAAGGTAGTTTTCGGGGGTATATCCGTGTTTAATATCGTGGCTTTAATTCTTGGGTCAGTCAGAAGGGAGGTTTTTTTTACCGATCATGTGTTTTTGAGTGAGTAGTTAGCTTCGTACTGCGGGATCTGCCTGTTTGCATCGGGAAGTGAGGGGCATAACCAAACTGGAAATTACTCATTCCACCCCTAGTCTGGCCCATTTCCACACTATCTCTTGCAAACATCCTTTTGTGTGAATTCCCGTCATTTATGTTGTAGTCGTTTATCATAACCGATCCAGAAGCCCCGCCTGCACCACGACTAGGTTCCGGTGGCACTGTCTAGTAATGGGGTGTTAACGGGGATGATTGTACCCGAGTCTCTGGAGGAGTGCGTATTCTGTCCAAAGTCCAATAATTTGGTTACAAACTTTTTTGGCAGTTCAAGCGTTTTGTACACTATTTTGGAAAAATTCGAATTTTCTCCATACTTTTTTTGTCATGAAAGTAGTTCGATTTTTGTCTTTTATCGGCAATCTGCTCTCATTTTCATCTTTGTCCATGTATAAATCGGTCTCATTCATTTTGTATCGGCTTTGGGAGTCTTCGTTAGAATCTTCGAGATCATTAATAAGATTCTCCAAACTTTAGGATCCGACCTTAACAGGTTGTCACTCCTTTCGAGGCTACCGTGCTATGAACCGCTCGTATTTTCGCCTGAAATGTTTTCCGTACTTTCTTACTGTTCCGTACTGTCACTATATCTCGCAAGATTATCAGTACTTTTGCGAACTTCAGTGGTCTCCAAACTTTCACAATTCTTGATTTTTGTAGGGAAGGTTATTGGGCACTGCTTGGGTATCCTTGACTGGATTTTTATTTAGACTGTTCAGTGGCTTGTCAGCAGTAGGTTCCCTTTTCTCCAAACTTAAGTTTGGAAAAAATTTTTTTCGTGTAGTCCTTTCTGAGCCGGTCTTCTGATCCCAGATTGTTAGAAGAGTTAGTAAAGGTCACACAACTACTCACGTTTTTATGTGGGTGCAGGTGTTTTGCCCGCTCATTAATGCCCGCTTGCGCACCACATTCACATTTATAGATGGATTTTTGGACGAATTGATCCGGTCCCGAAGTCTATGAGAGTAAACAATCTCATACTCTGTTTTGGGTGGCCCTAAGGGCTTCGACATGAACTCCGATCACTTCCGGAGTATTGGTTTTACTTACACTGGCGCAAATAAAGAAAAAGATATTGTTATTTTAAATCACACCGTGACAGTTGACAATGGCGAGTCCTAGGTGTACTGGGCCCTTGATTTCAGTTCTGATAACGCACTCACTATGCAGTCAACTGTCAGACCAGTCCTCATATCTAGCCAGATTGATTTTTTTATATTTTGAATGAGTAAAACCAAATTTGGTAGATTTTCACGAAACTTTTATTTTAAAAAATAAAAATTTAAAATTAAAAAAAAATTTAAAACACTATACATGACATGTTTCGAAGTACAACTTCTTTTTCAAATAAAATAAAAGTTTTGTGAAAATCTACCAAATTTGGTTTTACTCATTCAAGATGAAACGGATTTTCATCAAGTAAAGGCCGAAACAATAAATAATTTTTTATATTTAGTTGGTCAGTCACAGTCGTGGAGTCTATGTCCATCCGAGTCTCAATTTATTGTTTTTTAGTCCTGTCTATATATTAAGAGTGCTTTGTGGAGACATCCATGCTTTCTGTGAGCACTGTTCCCTGCATTAATGTTAAGTATGTCTCCCTTTACGTTTTCGGGGAGTGTCTATAAAATGTTTCTGAAATGCGCGTTACAAATTCTTTCATAGTCGGCATGGATGTCTCTACATGCATGTCATTGATCCTGGAATAGCGGGCCACCCCAAGGCCAGCCTCAGATACCTGTTTTGTATCCGTTGAAGTTTGAGGAAATTACTGTTGGACATCGAACAGAAGACAGGACATCCTTAAGTCAATATAGGCCTAATTACCAGTGTGCTTAAGCGGTTCTGTCACCAATGTACTTTGTAAACGTTAATCCTTTATCTATAGTCTATTTTTATGTATGAGAGAGTAATAAAACAGCATTTCTAATGCAAAACTTAGTACGGTCATTTTAAATATTTTTATAGAATAATCTAAATATTTCCTAAAATTGTAATAAATGTACCTGAGCTATTACA